ATTACACATTTAAGAAAATAACATCCTTCAAAGTTCAGCAGAAGTTACAGGATTACATTTTCAATAAAATGCATTTGTCACTGATTATTACACAAGTTCCATGATTTTAGACCAAGATAAAATCTGTACGTGTCGTAGATCAGAGAATATGTTCTGGTGTTAACTAGAGAGCAAACTGAAACAGATGAAATGGTTTTTACTCCTCATCGAGTTCAAAGAGACAAAGTTACTGATGGTCCCTGACCCATAAAACACCAGCAGCAGAGACCTGTGGCTCCAGCTGTTGTTGGTTGATAAACATTGTTTTCACGTCAAATAAACCGGCGCATAGTAACATTATTTATTACACTATTTTTGTCCTTTTTAAGTACACTAATGTTATTCTGTTGTCATTTTTTAGTGTATTTAACTCAGAAAAAATTTTCAGGGCCCCACTTTGGGTCCCGACCCCAACTTTGGAAACGACTGCACTAGTGTCACGATCTACCAAAGTTTATGTCCACTAGAGTGAAATGAGTCTTTTGTTACCTTTTAAAGAAAGTTTAATCTCATCTCATCTCATCAGGTGAAGTCGAAGACTTCAACATTTTACAAAATATAAGTTTCACAACATAAAACTACAACGTAAATAAATAAACTATAAATAAATACTGAAATATATAAATAAGGTAAAATGTATTTTTATATAAATAAACAAAAATAAATGATAGACATGCTAAAAATGCATTTCAATATATTGATTTGTTTTTTCATCTGTATATTTATTTGATGTAATATTTAATATTTATTTAATAATTACAGTATTTGTTTTATTTATTTAATTTTGAGTTAAATGGCTTTCCATACTGTAATCAGGAAGTTTAACAATTTAATAAGAAAAAATTTTGATGTGTTTATTTATGGCCTTTAAATGACAAAGTAAAAACAAACATGATTAAGTTTTACACAATGTTCATGATCTAAATGTGGAAAAAATATCAAAGTGTTCATAAAGTCTGAATCAAAACAAAAGTTCAAATAAACCAAATGAAGGCAGGACAAAAACTAAACATAAAAAAACACAAAATGAATCATAAATGATCTCATCTGGAAATGTTTAAAATAAAAGATGAATAAGAGTTAAAGGCCACAGATTTATTACAGATTATTTATTATAAATATTAATAAATCACTAATGTAACAAATTTATTTTAATCCAAAAGTTTCTAAAGATGAAAATAAAAATGTCCAAAAACTAAAAACTTCTTTAGAGTCAAGTTGAAATTAAACATCTTCTCTCTGCTCCTTCACTGGACCTGCTGATTCCTCTGTTTCCATGACAGCCTCCTCCTCCTCCTCTCCACCCTCAGGTGTTCCAGAGGAGTTCAGGACTCTGTGTGGACCGTGGAGATCTTATCAATGGACTGCAGGAGCTGAGAGACCAGACGGAGAGTCTCCGCCTCCCCGAGGAGCTGCCTGAGGACACACACACGCACGTACGCACACGCACACGCGCACACACACACACACACACACACACACACACACACACACACACACACACACACACACACACACACACA